TCTGTGGCCTGTGGAGGTGGGGGCCAAGCACCAAGGGCTCAGGGTGCCCCCAACAACACAGCTCTAGATGGGCTGGGCAGGCACCCAAGTCACCACAGGATGTGGTCAGTGGCCCCACCAAGTCAGAGCAGCATGCACTCCTACATTGGCAACCAGCCTGCACAAACTCGCCAGGAAAGCCCCAGCCGGATCACGCAGGCACACAGCTCACAGCCCTACACTCCCAGGAAAATTCCCAGTCTCAGCCTGTCCCAATCAGCAACTTGCAGATCAGGCCGAGCAGCCCGATAGCCAACCGCCAGCCTAACAACTCCGTATGCACAGTATGGAGAGCGGGGCCCCAAGGCTTCTCGTGCACTCCCTCATCTCAATGAACAGCCTGCTGGAACTGGAACACGCCCACCAGGCATTTCCCTGGCTATGCAGCACAAGCAGTGTGGATGGTGGGGACCCAAGGCCACATGCGCGTGTATGCACACACGCACTCCTGTGCCAATTCCACCAGACCTATGCAGTCCCAGACCTGAGCCTCTGTGGGAGGGCCCAGCTCTGAAAAAATAGTGCCCTCTTATACACTACTCGTGTACAAGCTCCACACCAGGGGGACAATGGTCCAAAAACCTCCAGCTCCCGTGCCAAAGGCTCTCAGTTCAGTCCTTCCCCGCAGGCTCCTGGGCCCTGCTCACACAACTACTCCCTCCACCAGGGACCGGGTGAGTGCTCACCAGCAAGCAAGTCCATGTGCCGGCTCCACTAGTTCTCCAGCCACACTCAGCCTCACCGAGTTGAGCAAAGAGAGTCCTCACTAATTTCTACTGCCAGCTATCATAGAACTCCTCTTCCTGGGAAAGTAACTCTGGGCTGTGAGCTCGGTGTGGGGCCGGAGTGTCTCTCCCCCAACTGGAGCAGCCTCCCCACCGCTGAGGTGTCCCTCACAGGGTTCACCCTCTCTCATCTCCGCCCCTCCTACCAGACTCCATGTGGCCTCCTCTTTAAGTCCTTCGTTTAGAGGCTCTGTTCATCTAGTATCCAGGGGACTTCCAAGTTTGAATGGGGTACAAATTATTTGTAATTTTGGTGTGATCCTGGGAGACAGTTGGCACAGTGTCTGTCTATTCTGCCATCATACCAGAAGTGTACAGAACTTTTTTAAAGAAAGAAAAAATGTAATCTTTCCCTTGTTCAAGCTAGTTCTCCAAATAACTGTGGGGTGTGCAGTGTGTGTGTGTGTGTGTGTGTGTGTGTGTGTGTGCGCGCGCGCGCGCGCGCGTGCACATGGGCATGTTAGAGACCACTGGGGCTATCCGTAGAGTGCATCAGGGCACTGCATCACATAACCCATCTGTAATAAGCGGCATGTGCTGACACTGTCAGGTGTCCTGTCTCATTTCTTGCCCACAGCCTAGGAGGCAGGCTCCACTATTACCCGAGGTTTAGTATGAAATACCTGTGTCACAGTGGTTGTAAGTAACTTTTCCAACATTAGGCAACTAGGAAACAATAGAGGTGGGCAGATCACAGCCCTTGGGCCAAACTCCACCACCACCTTTTCTATGTGGCCCATGAACAAAGCATGGTTTGACACTTTTATGTGGCTGAAAGGGTGATAAAAATAGTATTCCACATCAGAGGGGCAATAGATTGGGGGAGGGAGTTATCATTTTGTGAGAGGTGAAATGTATAACTATTAAGTTGTTTTATACATCTGAAACTAATATTTAAAAAATACTATTCCACAACATGTAAAAATGGTGTGGAACTCAAACCCCTGTGTTCACAGTGAGTGGGAGGTGGCCCCTTGCTCACTGGCCTGTCCACTGTTCTGTGCTTTGGGGCAGAGCTGAATGGCTGTGACCAAATTCCCACAGAGCCTCGGACACTTGCTGTCCAGCCCTTTACAAGGTGGCCAAGCCACTCTCAAAGTGTGCTCTGCAGTCCACTCTTCACCACGTCCTCACGGCCCTGGTGCTGACTAATGCCTCTGGGTTTCAATGCGTTGGCAGTGGCACCAGGGTCTCTTGAGCTGTTACTAGCCCTCCAGGCTGGGGAGCCAGAAAGTCCCTGGACACACAGGGTCCCAGCTGCCTCTCATGCTGCCTCTTATCTCCTAGTGACCAGCAGCAAACACATCGTCAGGAAGTTCCGCGGGCACCTGCGCACGAAGATTGAGTCTGGGGAGGGGACCGTGCCCGTCCGGGGCCCCAGCACAGTGCAGACGTGGGACGGCATCCTGCTGGGCGAGCAGCTCATCACCATGTCCTGCACAGACAAGATCGCCAGGTAACAGACCTCTGTGGCCTGGTGGCCCAAGTGACAGTGGGCACAGGGAGTGGAACCAGGAGAGTCCCATCCACCTTTCTCATAGACCACAGCCTGAGTTTCACGTGCCCACGGCGAGGATGCCTAGAGTGAGCACATGCCTGGCAAGCCTAAGCCACCACCACTGCACACACACACACACACACACACACGCATACACATGTATGTGCACACAATACACACAACACTGGTGCAGGTCCCTGTCTGACAGGCTGGGCACAGGCTCACAGCCTGATTGGAAGGCAAGTTGTGCTGTTCACTTGGCCCACCTGTGTTCAGCACCCCCGGGGACCACCTGCTCCCCACACCTTGGCACCCTGGGAGCAGGGAGGGTTCCCAGGGGAGGGTAGAGGCTCCCTGACGGAGCCACCCCCAGTGGTGGCAGCAAGGTGGTCGTAAAAAATGGTGTTAAGAACAAATCAGAACTTCTGTGAACTCTGGTAAATGCACTAACTTAGCATCTACCCACCAAGTACAGTGCATCCTACTCATACATGGCCCCAGTTCCAACCACACTGCCCCATGAGATGCTCGACATGGAACGTTCTGGGGCCGAAACTCTCAGGAGATGAGAAGGCTGGTCTCCCAAATGTGAAAGGAGAGTGGGGCAAGGGTGAAGGTGGCAGAGTGCCCCACAACACCCAGGTCACATGCACCAACCTAGGCATGGTTCCAGCACGTGGACACCCGTGAGGCAGGACTGTCTGCCACCAGGAGTCCCTGGGAGCCCCAGGTGCTGCAGGCCCTGCCAAGGGTCCCACGTCCTCAGGGTCTCCTTTCCCTGCTCTCTGCACTGCAGGGCAGACCAAACCTCAGCCCTGAGAACAGGGGTCCCAATTCTCAAATCCTCTGGGGTATTACCAAATGGCTGTGGAGAAATGGGGCCATTTACTTCCCGGTTTGACTGCTCCTGGCCAACCAGAGGCAACAGGACAGCCTAGTGACAGCAAATCGAAGTGCTGAGTCTGCACCTGAGGTAATGGCTGCCGTCGTCCACCAGCTTGCCCTTCAGAAGAGGCACTCCTGCTCTGTCCTATTTTCATCTGCTCACGAAGTGGGAAAAAGGAGCAACGTTCACCTTCCTGACGTGCTCCTGGTACCTGGAGACCGTCCTCATTGGGTCCTAAGTTACTTCTGACTCCCTAGAAAATGCCGTGAATTAACGCTGCAGAGTTGAAATTCCGTGATCTCTGCGATCTTAAACGTCCTACAGCAAACTAAACGTGCTACAAAACCCGTGTTATATCTGCTGTTGACAGGTCTGATAATGGTGACACAGCCACTCCAAAGCAGGTTCTGCGTTGTCTAGTAACATCTATTTAATGATCTACTGAAAAGACAAAGTCCACACTGCATCCCCTCCAGGGGATTTCAAACAGTGCCCGGAATGAAGAAGGTTCTAGAATGCTTTCGAAGAGAGGCACACGTGTGGGGACATGGTGACCTCCTGGCTCTGGGCAGTCTGGGGGGACGGCTTGCCCTGAATGGACCCAGGGTTCATCCACAAGTGCCAGGTGGATTCGAGCTCAATGGGGAGCTCCTCCACTCACCCAGTTCTCATCCCCAAACCTAGTGGCAAGAGCACTGAGGGCACAAAGGTGCTGGGGAGGGGCCCTGGAGGGGCGCAGGTTCCAAGTTCCCCTTCCCCCTCACTCAGTTCCCTTAGCGCCCCCACCTTCCTGCTGCTTTCTTTTTTGCTTGCTTTCTCCTCCCTCACTCTTCCTTCTGTTTTCCTATCACTCCTTCTCTCTGTCTCTCTATTTCTGTCTCCCCCTCTGTCTCTAACTCTTGTTCTCTCATCTCTCTCTCTGTTTCCCTCTCTCTCTCTCTCTCTCTCTCTCTCTCTCTCTCTCTCTCTCTCTCTCTCTTCCTCTCTCTGTCTCTCCCTCTCCATGCACACACCACCACCTCTGCCACCTCTCACACTTCATGTCCACACTGACTGCCTTCTGCCTCCCCCCTAGGCCACCCAGGATGCCCATTGCTCTGGTGGGCTCCCCCCACCCACCCACACCCTATTGCTGACACTGCAGGAACTTCCTGTACCACCTCATCTGCTCATGTGTCTGAGGGGTCATCTGTATGTCTGAGGAGTCATTGGTGTCACAGTGATATGCACATGTGGTTCCTGATCAATGACACTTGCTGGTGAGAAGGAGGAGGAGGGGCGATGATGAAGATGAGGGAAGTGGTTCTGCCTGCCCCTGGTATGGCGGTGTCTGTGTGTCCCCCAAGATCTAGCCCGGTGCAAGGTATGAGCTATTTCAGAACCGCTGCTGGTCGGGAGCAGGAATGTATGTTGTACTGATGATTCAGACTGTGAGCATCTGCACTATTTGTGCACAGGCTTCCCAGAGGCCATCTGATGCTGCGTGTTCCTATTTGTATGTCCCCCAGCTGTGAGTGCTGTACACAAACAGATACTAAACCTTGGGCTCACGTCATGTTCAAAATAGACCCTTCATGCACAAATACAGGTGAAATACTCTAGCTCTGCAAGTGGAAGGTTGTGGACACACTGTCCCTCCTTCCAGAGCCTGTAACATGGTGCAGGACACGCGTGGCCACAGACCTACGAGGTTTGACAATTAAGTTCACAAACTTTCCACTGTGCATTTACATTGGCAGCACTGTACAAACAGCTCGGTGAGGTTTCATAAACTTGGTATATCCGTGTCTCACAGTTCTGTTCATGTTGACATGTGGTGGTGTCTTGCTGAGCGGCATTCATTATTGTTGTTGCGTGTTTTTGTGTGCCATCGTGAAAATGTCTGGGCTTGAATTAAAGCAATGAACAAACATTAAATTTCTTGTTAAACTTGGCAAGAGCGGAAGTGAAATCAGGGACATGTTAGTCTAAGTTTATGGGGATAACGCCATGAAGAAAATGGCAGTGTACAAATGGATTAAACGTTTTTCTGAGGGGAGAGAACGTGTCACTGATGGAGAGGTCAGAGAGGGCAGTAATGAGCAGAACTAATGAAAACATTGCAAAAATTCATCGATGTGCGCGTCAAAATTGTTTGTTGTGAAATGCATTGCAGACCAAGTAAACATCGATAGAGAAACAGGAAAATCTTAAATGAAAATCTTGACATGAGAAAGGTGTGTGCAAAAATTGCCCCAAAGGAGCTCACGGATGAACAAAAGCAAAGGAAAGTTGAAGTTTTTTGGGTTTTTT